GCATCTCCTCCACCGTCAAATCCACTTCCCCTTCCCATCCTCTCCTTATAAGAAAAGGGTGATAAAGAGAAAGGGACTTAAATTAGTATAACAAGAGGAGACGCACACCTTTGATAAAACTATCGCTCAATAGTTGTGCGATTGTCGATTGTTTCGCAGCACACAACTGTTTAGTCGCACAACTAAATATCGAGTGTGCACACCTCCATATAAGCTCATAAGAATCAAAGCGAGACTAAACATGCGATAGTTCAGTCAAATGTGCACTCTAATACATTTTTTTAAGAAATTTGTACTGTTCTTTTTTTAAAACTTTGAAAAGATCAATCACCTATACATGCTCATAACCCAAGCAGGACTGCAGTAACCACATTGCGTCCCGTTGTACTTCGCGAGAGTTTTCTGTATAGGATGATAGTTTTGACGGTCTCCGACACCTTCTATAGTCGTTATATCCCATCCTTCGCATTGTGTTATAGATACCAGACACTGAAATTATTAATAGGATGTTTCAAAACGAATTAAAGACTGATAACTCACTCAAGGCAAACAAGCAAGACTACTTGAGTTCTTTGAAAGGGAGAAATATCGCTGCCCATAGAAGTTCGCAATTGTAGCCTTAGTTGTTGTAGGAACGCAAATAAGGAGGATATTTTCCTCTACCATAAATCCACATTCCGTTCTCATTCTTTCTCTTACTAAATATTTGTTAAATTAGACCTTTGAGTATGCCTAACTTACAGAGTTAACAGAGAATGTTCTCCGATGTCCATAGATGTCATGGTTAGCCACATTAACAATACAAGCGCCGCAGGTCCCCTGCTGGCACATGTATTTGCAGCCTGTTAAATTAAGGTATCTACGGAGGTAGTCGTTGATAGTCACGTCAGAGTCGACCTCATTACCCACTGCAATCATAACAATGTTTTAACATTACAACATTAAGGACCTATCCCACCACTGGCGGATAAGGGCTCAGATACCTTCAAAATGACGTCACTGTCAGATAAGGGAAGAAAATCCGATATTTCCATCACATATTTTACACGTTGGATTGTTATCAGACAATTTACAATTTGGTGGGATAGGTCCTAAGTGTTGGTTGCTCAGGTGTTAAAAATTTAACTTGTAATCTACAGTTCTTTGGTTCGAATCCCACCTCGACCGTTTATACGGCGAAGGAAAACATCCTGCACATGTCGGCGAGGATATACAAAGATATGTGTGACGTCAACACAGTCGGCCAACGTGGTTGATTATGGCTTAGACACCCTAGTTGTGGTTAAAATTCCAAACTCCTCAGTGGTGACGTATACTGATGTACATAATATGGGAATCGAAAATAAGGAAAAAACAGGAAATTATAGCAAAAAAAGATACAAGTTAGAGTAAGAAAGTGTCAGAGAAGTGGGGAATAAGATAAGGGGAGAACAAGAGATGGAAACACATTTAAAATTAAATAAACAAATTCTATTACTTACCAGAATATTTTTTCTTGTTAACAGTAAACTCTATTCTATCCATTTTATTACTAATTCAATATTATTAAATCAAAGGAAATACAAGTGTTTCGTGCAAACCCAGATTAACGATAGAATATTTGAAAACATTGTCGATGTTAATTAATGTTTTTGTTAATAACAAATACAACGTTTTACATAATACGGATGAAAATTATATTTTTTCAAACGCTTACTTTGGCATAAGGGTTTATTCACACTATAGGTTTGGTATAGTACCAAAAATGTACCAATCAAATGAGATCTCTTTACTTTTGAAATCGGGTAAATATGTGACTTCATGTATCAAATGAGTACACTATTTCTATTATACAATTACATTAAGTGACTATGAAGGTAGAGGAACAGTGAAGAAAATACGTAGGGATTGATGGATGAAATAACTCAAAAACTACTGGACCGATTACAAAAATTCTTGCTCCATTAGAAAGCTACATTATCAGTGAGAGAGCTATGTTTTTACTTTTTTTTTCACGGTGACAAAGTCGCGAGAAATATCTAATCTTTATCTACAGAGGAGGGGTCTCGCAAATCTATCTATACTATCTATACTATTATAATAAAGCGTAAACACACACTTCTTTGTGGCGTAAGATGTCAGCAATTACAGCATATTTTTGAATAATCCTTTTTTTAATAAAAAGCCCTACACTTACGTCATGCTTTAGACTATATATTTTCACGCTGTTAAACTTAGGGGGCAAATAAATTACATTAAAAACCCTAATGTGGGAAAGAGACCATAAGCTGCCAACGTCAAGGAAGTAAGATTGTCAAGTTTTGTAATGTCATGTCATTTTGACATTTGCAATTGACAATTTGACAAATGTAAACAATAAAATAAATCTGACTTCTTACTAATATTATAAATGCGCAAGTTTAGATGGATGGATCGATAGATGGAAGTTTGTTAGAGTTTGTAGCCTAAACGGCTGAACGGATCTTTATGAAATTTGGCATAGAGATAGAGGATAGTATGGAAGAACATATATTCTACTCACTTTCTTTTTTTCAATTCCACGCGGCCAGAGTCGCGGGCGAAAGCTAGTTTTTCATGATTCTATGCGGATGAAGCCGCACGGGAACAGTGTAACAAAATACAAAAAATCGATAGTAGAAAACAATCAAATAATATCGATCGTGTGAATAAAGTGAAGTTTGAATTACAATGTAATGTATTCACTTAATAATTGTAGTTACACAACGATTAACAAAGTTACGCTTATCGAATTAGTTTCACTTCTATGAATAATTAGCTATAATTATAATTATGTTAGTATTTAAAAAATTATATGTTAATATTTCCTCAAGGTTACGTTGCACGTTTTGTATCCCTCTGATGTAATTTTATGATTAACTAGCTTTAGCCCGCGGCTTTGCCTGAGTGAAATTAAAAAAAAACATAACCTATGTTACTCACTGATAACATAGCTTTTTAATGGTGAAAGAATTTTTAAATCGCTTAGTAGTTTTTGAGGTAATTTAATATATACAAAAAATACAAATCTTTCCTTCTACTATTAAGTAAAGGTATACTAGCTTTAGCCCGCGACATCGTTCGCAATATAAATTCAGTTAGTAGTTTGTATTTTTTCACAATAAATATGTTAATAAAGACAGCCCGAGCCGAGGCTTATTAGTTACTCATAAACGAGGTTTAGGTTAGCATCGTGGGGCTGTAAATGCCTCAGCAAGGCAAACGGAGACGACTCAATCATAAAAAAAGCACTTTTTCTACTGAAATTTCCTATTACATTGAAAAATTCTTTCCTATATTTGCTCGTTGTTAAAACTCGTTTTAGTACACAAGCGTTGAATACAAGGTTCGTCCAACTCTCAAGGACTCTCTTTTATGTTCCCTACGTGAGAATTAAAGAATGACATTTTCCTGTAAAAAGAATTTGTTTTTATAAAACTTGGGTTTAAATTTTTTTATATTCAAGCTAAATAATTTCAGTGTTAACTGAACAATTGCATGTACAGTTAAAGTTTTAACTGCTCAGTTAAAACTAAAGGTGTATCCGCCTCACACACAATACCTGTACATAGAATAATTAATTGGTTACTAAGGGAGATACTTAGTAAAAAATTAGGGTGTTGCCTGTGAGGTCAATTGAAGATCCAAAAGTAACTTAAAGTTATTAAGTTATCCTGACTGTGTAATTGATTCCATACGTATCATATAATGATTTTAACAGTGGTAGAGCCCGCTTTAATATCTTCGCACAAATGGGCCGGCTCGCCCGGTGTACCACGACCACACAGAAAACAGGCGTGAAGTGGAAGCAATTCCGCGTTTCGTCTGATGAGTGCGGTGCCGGAGGTCTAATTTTAGTCCCTTTTCCTTTCAACCCTTTTCTTGAGAGGAAAGGATGGAAAGGAAAAGTAGATTTGACGGTGTGGGAAACGCATAGGAAGGGGAAATTTCCTTTTCATGTGCGTCTCCTCCTCCGTCAATGAAGTGTAGGCAACGCATCTGCAATTGCGGATGTCTATTGGCAGCGGTCGCTTTCCATTTCGGTGGATTCAGGAGGCCACTTTTTCGTTTGCCACCATGTATTATAAAAAAAATGAATTCGAACATTGTTCTTCTAATACTTAAGTAAAACTAAAAAAAGTACTAAAGAAACTTCCAAGTTGTACCTTTTAAGTTAAATGAGAAAACTTTTCTCGGTATGGGAATGGTTCTAAAGTTATCACGTAGTTACTTTTCGATATAACTTGTTAAGTGAGAAATGAATAATTCTCTCCGTATAATAATTTTATCTATAAATTTATTACTAGCTTTCTCTCGCGATTTCGTCTGCGTGAAAAAAAAACAAGTTGTCTACGTGTTCTTCCAGACTATCATCTATATTTAAGAAAGAAAGAAATCATTCATTCAAAAAATGAAAAGGAATTCATTCGGAATGTGCTTGGTGTACACTGAAGCGCCGGTTTTCAATGATTCCTAAAAACAGAACACGCAGTTTAACAAAATAGTAGAAGAAAAAAGCATGTACTTAATGTTACACTCGGTCACAACTAGAAAAGTTAATATAAATCTAAATGTATGGAAAAATATAAAAATCAAAACACAAATAAAAACACTTAGATGTTACTTAATGTACCTAAATTATTTTAAAACCAACATTACTTATACTGGGTTGCTGAAGTTTCCATTAAATTTATCATAACCTAGGGTTTCATTAGCAAGCTAAGTTCCAAATGAGTAAAACTCGTGTTATGTAGTTCAGAAATACATTTCAAGAAGTAATCGAATCATAATCACTAACAAATTATTGTGCCAAATTTTACCAAGATCTAATAAACTCTAAAAAACTTTTAATTTTAACTTATCTCTAACAAATCAATTCATCCATCTAAACTTTCGTATTTATAATATTAGTAAGAAGGAAGATTAGTTACATAAATTTCACAAGCCTGCGCATACTGTTTTAATAAGTATGATTTGTTAAAAATCCACGTAATACAAATATTTGCCAATTAAAATCTTTTCTGTAGTTTTAGTTATTACGGCCTGTCCCATTACTGACTGATAGAGGCTCAGATAGCTTAAATGACGTCACTGACAGGTAACAAAATCCGATATTTCCATCACATATTTTACAAGTTGGATTGTTATCAGACGATTTAAAATTTGGTGATACAAGAAATTAATTTTGGAAAAAGATTTTTTAATAGAAAAATGCATACGAAAAGTCATAGCAGTTATTTTTATTTTAATCGGACTTTTTAATATAGGATTTTAAAAACGCATTTTCCTCACGTTCCCGAAATACGTAACAACATTTAATGTTCATATAATAAAATAGTTTGTTGGCTGAAACGAAATAAGCCAGCGAACCCTGTATCGTAGGGGTCAAAATTTAAATTTCGAATTAGTATTCGAGTACACACGGTGTTTTTAAAACCTCTCCAGTTTACGCCCGCAGTTAAATTTGCATGTAAAATTCTGTCGCTCTCTTGGCGAACGTTTTCTACTGGTTGTAACTTTGTTATATACTCCAAGTACGAGTACATAGTACATCTATCTAATTAGTTATGACTGCGTTTGTATAATTTGTTTTGACACCAAATTGTGATTTTATTTTGAACTAGCTTTTGCCCGCGACTCCGACCGCGTGGAAATAAAAAAAATAAACATGAGTAGTCTATGTGTTCTCCCAGACTATTCTCTACATCTATACCAAATATCATCGAAATCCGTTCAGCAGTTTAGGCTATAAACTCTAACAAACATCCATCCATCCATCTAAACTTACGCATTTATAATATTTGTATGAAGTATGATTATTATTTATCTTCTATCTATGCGCCATAAAATCCAAATTCATTGGTTTCAAATGTTTTTGTTATTATTTA